AAAAAAAAAAAAAAAGCAGTGAATGCTATTAGTAAATAATAAATAAAATGATTAGGAAAATTTTTTCTGCCATTCTTTTCTTTTTTACTCGGAAAGATGCTTACAGCTTTTTGTTTATTGGGTTTGTTAATAGGTTACAATTTTTTGGGACAATAAATTTAGATTCTATTACCATACTGTAAGTTAAACTATATGTATTTTCATTGATCAGCTGTTTCGATCGTTCTTTCTAAAATTCTTTTATCTTTGTGAGTGTGTATGTCGTTTTTTTTTGCATTTATTTGTATGAATGTATTACTTTTTGTCTGTCCGATGAAACTTCGCTTCGTTTTTTTTGACAAACTTTTAGGAATCTTCCTATTTATCTTTTTTTTTTAAACTATTTTTTCCTTCTTTTCTTTTCTTTAAGCATAGCTGGATATGTCTTTTATTTTACTTTTACTCTTTTTTTATTCTTTCATGTTCTCTTTTCTTTTAAATCTTTGTCTTCAAAGTTATCCAGCTGTACGGGTGAATAAAAATTAGCACTCTGATGCAGAACAATGTGTTGCAAAAATGAGCACTTGGAAATCCGTACGGAAAACGGTGAAACGGGAATGCTGTTTGACAGCATTTGTATCGGTCACAGTAACCATCAGAATATGCCGCTGACAAGAATCATATAGTGTGTCAACGTCTGCATGGATCCAATATATAATTTTCAAATGTAGACCACACAGTATCCGTTGTTTATATGGGTTTCCAATTGTGGCGGTTCACGGTATCATCTGTCTGTCGTCTGCACTATTAATCCACAGAACGAAAATTCCACAGTATCACTGTGGATATTAGAAATTTGATTGTTATTATCATCGGTATGCTTCTTATTTTCCGCTTTTTATCGGCAACTTTTCTTCGATTGTCACTAGAAAAAAAAATTTTGTTTCTTGATGACATTGGATCGGAGATGTTGCCGGAACAACAGAAGAAGAAGAAGAGGAAGAACAACGGTAGCAACAACGACAGTATGACGAATACCACCGTTGTAGTCGTTGTTGTCGCAATTGTCATCGTCTTCGTTTTCGTCATCATATATCATATGACCAACGACATATATTTTTGCTTGTAAAACATTAAATCATAAATCAGTGTCTATTTAAACGTACAGAAAAGCACACAGAAAAAAGTGAACTATTTAATAACCGTATAAAACTGTAGTAATAAAAAGACAAAAAGGAAAAACTAAGAAGAAAAGAAAAAATCTAGGACAATTTTAAGCAATTTTTCATTGAAACGAGGGAAAATTGAAAGAATGACAATAAGGAAAAGAAAAGATGAGAATGACAGAAAGAATTGAAAAACTAACCGAAAAGTTGATAACGGTTTTGTAATACCGACAGCCACCATCATAACAGCGCTATTCCGGATTCTGAACTACTTGTAAGCTACAGGCTCGATGGTATTAGATGATGAAAAGCTTGAGGAAGATGTTTGAACAAAAATTAGTGCATAGAACGGTCTCCTCTCCTGTTTTCTTTTACCATTTAATTTTAATGCTTAGATGCTGTTTTCACTTAATTTTATTTCATTTTAAGCTTTTATTGTTTTAATTTTAAGCTTTTTTTAATTTATTATCTAACTCAAACTTTTTTTATTTTGATCATCGTCACCTCGTCACCTCAAACACTTCTTCTTTTCTTTTTTTTCTTCATTATTTTTTTCAAAAAAAAGAAAAAAAAAAGCTGCTAAAAAAGTAACTGAAAAGAAATTTCTTTGGAAAGCAAACAAATTGAAACGTCAATC